GAGGCTGAGGCAGGAGAATCACTTGAACCCAGGAGGCAGAAGTTGCAATGAGCTGAGATTGCACCACTGCACTCCACCCTGGTGACAGAGCAAGACTTCGTCTCAAAAAAGAAACAATCTCTAATCTTTAATTGGGCTGTAGTTTAGGTTTGTTTCTTTTAATATGATTATTGATTTGGTTGGCATTAAAGCTAGTATCTTATCATTTATCTTAACCTAACCTGTGACTTGTTTTCTGTTTCTTTTTTGGCAATTTTGATTAATTAAGGAATTCTTATATTTTTACATTATTTCTTCTATTGAATTATCAGCTACAACTACTGTGTAATTTCAGTGGTTGTTTTAAGGCTGGCACTGTACTTCTTTTCACAGTCTATACAATAAAGTGATATCACATCACCTCAACTGCAATGCAGGGTGGGTATCCCTTATCCAAAATCTTGAGACCAGAGGTGTTTCAGATTTCAGGGTTTTTTTCAGGTTTTTGAATATTTTGGAATGTTATACTTACCGATTGAGCATCCCTTGCCTGAAAATTTGAAATCAGAAATTCTTCAATGAGCATTTCCTTTGAGCATCATGACAGCATTCCAAAAGTTTCGGAGTTTGGGGGGAGCATTTTGAATTTCAGACTCTTGGGTTAGAAATATTTGCCCTGTCTGTGACCCTTATAACAGTGTTTTCTCTCCCGGACTTGTGCTAGCGTCACGCAGTTTACCTGTGCATATTTTACAAATCCCCAGTGCACTGCTATTTTGCTTTAAAGAGTTGATTCTCTCTTTTAAATAACATTTCTATTCTTCATTCCTTTGTGTAGACACAAATTTCCATGTGGTGTCACTTTCCGTCCCTTCACATTTCTGGTAGGGCAAGCCTGAGGGTCATCAGTTCCTTCCGTTTTTGTGTGTTAGCAGGAGGAAGGTCTTTATTTCATTAAGTGAAAGATATTTTCTCTACGTAAAAAGTGTTTTCTTTCAGCACTTTAAAGATGTTGTTCTATTGTTTTCTCATTGCATTGTTTTTAATTAGACATTTGCTGTCACCCCTATCTCTGTTCCTTTGTACTTAATGTTTCTTTTTTATTTGGTTTTAAGATTTTCCCTTATCACTGGATGTGAGCAATTTGATTATGATGTGTCTTGGTGCTGTTTTCTTTTTATTTCTTATGCTTGGGGTTTGTTGAGCTTCTTGATGCTATGGGATATAATTTTTATCAAATTTGGAAAATTTGAAGAAAACTGTATTCCTTAAAATATGTTTTCTGTCTCCCTCCCCTTTTACAGCTATAATTACTCATGTGTTTGAATATTCAACCACTTAAAGTTGTCCCACAGCTCACTACTATTTTGTTTAGTCTTCTTGTTTCCCTATTTTGCATTTCTCTGTTTTGTATTCTGTGACAGTTCCTCTCCTTGTTCCTCTCCTTTAACTTCCCTAATCATTTTCTCTGCATTGTCTAAACCATCCTATGTATTTTTTATCTCACACATTGTGGCTTTCATCTTGAGAAGTTTGATGTGGGTCTTTTCTAAATCTTCCTTGCATCTAGTTAACATGATCAACCTCTTCCTCTGTTATATGAAATGTATGAAATATTGAAATGTTGTTTTAAGGCTTGCTTTGAGGTCCTTGTCTCCCAATCCTATTCTATCATTTGTCATTTCTGGATCACTGTTGGTTGATTGATATTTATCCATATTATGGGTCATTTTTTTTCTTTTTTGCATGCTAGTAACTTTTGATTGAGTGCCATGTATTGTGAACTTTACTTTGTCAGATGGTGTATATTTTATATTCCTGTAAATAGCTTTGAACTTTCAGTTTGATCTTTTTGATCTTGCTTTTATGCTTTGCTAAGTGGGATCAGAGCAGCATTTATCCTAAGGCTAATTTCACCCTCCACTGAAGGAAAACCCTTCTAAGTACTGTACCCAGAGCCCTATGAATTTGTTTTCTACTCTGGCTGGGGGGAACAGGCACTATTCCCAGCCCTGTTCTATCTATGGAGAATGCTCCCTCTAAGTTATGCATGGCTCCCTCTCTTTTCCATCCTCTGACTAGTACTTAGCTGAGTTGGGGGGAGGACCCTCTGCGAACCTCCACAGCTCTCACTGTGTACCCCGCTCTCTCCTGTGAATTCCAGCTGCGTTGGACTTCCTAAGTTTAGCTGTGGTTTTTCGTCTTAGTGAGTCTGCTGAGCTTTGCCTGGCCTCTTCCTTTTACCACCCGTGTCGTGCACTGGGCCCAGCACCTGCTCACCTGTTCTGATGGATCATTCCCCTTCATTGCCTGGTGTCTGATGGCTTTTCAACTGTTATTTCAATAATATGTCCCGTACTTTTACATTTATCAAACCGGAGGTAAATCTGGTCCTTATTATTCTATCTTTTGCAGAAGTAGAAGCTATAGAAATGTTTGTGTCATTCAAGAGTCACACAGATGAATTCTGGCCATGCCATTCACACACCTTCTCCAGCAAGTGACGTTCTGTCAGCTGGGAAGAGTCTGGCCTGACCAGCAAGCTCAGCCCTCTGACTTGATGTCATTAAACACCAAGTTAGTCACACCCTTTGGAAGTCATCTGTAACTTAACTGCAAGGAGGGAATCCACAACTCAGATAGAGGCTAGTGTCTGGTAATTGCATTCCTCATGGGGCACCAGTAAATTGGCAAGTATGTGATGCCAGGCGCTCCTGTGAGCTTACTGAGCCCAACTGAACCTTGAGAATATAAGGATGTAGGCTTTCTGCATCCCCAGGCTCTGGGTAGATTATCATGGTGAGAGTAGCTGTCAGAAACTGGCCCAACTGCTGTTCCTCGTGCGACACCAAAAATGCATTGCATGTCACTATGCCTAACATTCTGCAAGCCACTACAAGGGTTGCCCAAAGAGTTGGACCTTGTATCTCTAAAGATCCAAAAATTTCATGTTAACCATTTTGTTGGAGTTTATGCTAATGTGTCTATTTAAAATATTTTAGCAATAACAGGCATAAATACATAAACCTGCATGGTCATGCGTCATTATCGCAAGCCCCCATTCTGTGAGAGGGCGTTAGCTCTGAGGACCTGGGAGGGTGACAGCAATTGGAAAATGGCGGTTCCTTCCCATTTCTATGAATACTAATGAGCCGTGTCACGTACGGCCAAGTCCGTGGACTTCTCTGTCTCCACTTCCTCATCTGAAATGATGGCAACAGAACCTTCCCTTCCTGGGTTGTCAAAGTCCACGGAGAAGCATAAACCGTGATTCACATGTGAGGAGGTACGCAGGCTTCAAAGGCTCTGGTCTTTGTACAGCATAATGCCCTTCATGCCGCCATCAGCAGAAACAGTCATCAGATTCCACCATATCAAATAAAACACTTCCCACCCGAGGCCTTTGCCGCTGACTGTGTTTTCTTAGGGGAGATGCTCTGTTAAATGATAAAGTATGTTGCTTAGAAGGGTAGTCTGCAAAGGCTTTTGTTTCTCGAGACAAGTTATCCTTAAAGGAACAATCTGGGATTTCAGAAAATACGACTAAGCCAGTAAGTGTTAGGTATTTATAAAAATTGAGCAAGCAGGGCCTTCAGCGACATTACCCTACTAGTGGGAACTAAACCACCTTTGACGGAGATATTTTATGGGGAATTCTTTGCATCAGAATGAGAGGTCAGGTCAGTGTTGGTCCCTCAGGAAACTAAAACTCATCAGCTTCCCGTGGAACTCCAATCTCCCTCCCCGTTGTCCCATTGGGAAGGCAGGGGTCATCCTGGGTGCAGCCTCACAGGAAATGAGTCTGGAAGCTTGCAGGTGTGCCCTGATGCTCCCCTCTGCTCAGGGCTCTTCCGGACCCCTCCTACATCTGCCCACACATAGGCCAGTGCCCTCTCACCACCACTCTGCTGACTGGTGATTGTTGACCAGTCCATCTCCCTCACCATCCCAAATCCCTTATGCCCATTCACCCACTGAGGTCCCCATAGCACCTAGAGTTCACTGGCCATCCAGAGCATGCCGCTTAGTGAACTGACCTGACTCTCCTCTCGTCTCTCAGATCCCACTTCCTATGGCTTCCAGAGAGAAAATTTGACTGTATCATCCCTGTTTAGACCTTCTGTGGATCCCAAGGCCTTTGGGGAGTGCTTACAACTTCCCATGCCTGGGCCCTCCCTCCCATACCAGCTATTTCTCTTACTATGTCCTCCTTAAGGTCCCCCATTCCTAATCACCTGCAATTCTGCAAAGATGTCCTGGACACAGCAGAGTTAGGACATGGAGAGAGACAGCCCAGCCTACATAGAAGAGGGACGGGTAGCAGGGGAAGGAAAAGCCTTAAGACAGGCAGAGGGGAACCACACTTCCTTCTAATCACAGTCAGACCCATTGTAGCAGTTTTTTCTGAATGGCTTATTCATAAAAGCATTTACTGAGCACCTACTGTGTGCTAGTATCCAGCCTAGGAGGTGAGTAGTAAACCGTGTCGCCCTCTAAAGGACAGCACTCAGCATAGGGCAGACGCTGAGCTGCAGGCAATAACACGATAATGGGACTGTCAGAACATGGGACACTCAGGGAGAGAGGACGTTATGTATGCCTTGGTCCAGGCAAGGGACAGTGATACGGTTTGGATCTGTGTCCCCACCCAAATCTCATGTCAAATTGTAATCCCCAGTGTTGGAGGGGAGGTGACTGGATCATGGTGGTGGATTTCAACCTTGGTACTGTCCTGACTTCTCATGAGATCTGGTTATTTAAAAATCTGTGGCACCTCCCCAATCTTTCTGCCTTCCTCCTGCTTTAGCCATGTGAGGTGTCAGCTCCCTGTTCACCTTCCACCATGATTGTGAGTTTCCTGAGGCCTCCCTAGAAGCTGATGCTGCCTTGCTTCCTGTAAAGCCTGCAGAACCATGAGCCAATTCAACCTCTTTTCTTTACAAATTATCCAGTGCCAGGTATTTCTTTACAGCAGTGCAAGAATGGACAAATACAGAAAGTTGGTGCCAAGGAAAGGGGCACGACTATAAAGATTCCTAAAAATGTGAAAACTGGGTAACAGGCAGAGGCTGGAACTTTGGAGGGCTCTGAAGAAGGTAGAAACATGAGGGAAAGTTTGAAACTGTTAACAAAAAAAGTCAAACTCTGTAAAATATTTGAGGAGATTTCTGAGCCAAATATGAGTGACCATGGCCCATGACAGTCCTCAGGAGGTCCTGAGAACATGTGCCAAAGGTGGTGGGGGTCCAGCCCGGTTTTATTTATTTTAGGATGGCATAACACATCAGTCAAATACATTTAAGAAATACATTGGTTTGGTTAAAAAGGGCAGAGCAACTCAAAGTGGGGGCTTCCAGGATATAGGTAAAATTGAACATTTTCTGGCTGACAATTGGTTGAGATTGTCTGAAGACCTGGGATGGATAGAAAGGAATGTTCAAGTTAAAGATAGATTGTGAAAACCAAGTTTTATTGTGTAGAGGAGGCTCTTAGACAGCAGACTTTAGAGAAAGCAGGTTGTAAATTGTTTTTTATTGGACTTAAAATGTTTCCTGGCTCTTAGTTGATTAGCTCCTGGATCTGGGAAGGAAGGAAAACCAAGGAGGAAGGGGATTCTGTATAGAATGTGGATTTTTTTCACAAGAGACTTTGCAGGGCAATTTTAAGATATGGCAAGGAAATATATTTTGGGGTTAAATATTTTTTCCTTGTCACATAATGTTATACCAGAGTCAGATTGAAAAGCAGGTCACAATATACAGGGTAAAATAAAAGCCATCTGATGAGAATTTATGGTTTGTAGGGCAAGACTCCCTAGACTCCTTAGGTAGGAATTTGGGTAAGATAAAATAGAGCTTAGTCCTCAACTTTCTTGAGGCTGGTTAAATTGTTATCACCAAAATACTGGTAGTAATGTGGACAATGAAGTCCAGGCTGAGGAGGTCTCAGATGGAAATGAGGAACTTACTGGGAACTGGTGTAAAGGTCACTTTTATTATACTTTAGTGAAAAGCCTGTCTGCATTGTGCCCCCATTCTAGGGATCTGTGGATTGAACTTGAGAGAGATGATTTAGGGTATTTGGTGGAAGACATTTCTAAGGAGCAAAGTATTCAAGTGTTACCTGGCTGCTTCTAACAACCTATGCTAATATGCGTGAGCAAAGAAATGACCTGAAATTGGAACTTATATTTTAAAAAGAAGCTGATAATAAAAGTTTGGAAAATTTGCAGCCTGGCTAAGTGTTAGAAAAAAAAAAAAAAGCCCATTTTCAGGGGAAGAATTCAAGCAGGTTGCAAAAATTTGCATGACTAAAAGTAAGGCAAATGCTGATAGCCAAGGCAATGGGGAAAAGCCCTCAAAGGCATTTCAGAGACTTTTGTAGCAGCCCTCCCAGCACAGGCCCAGAGGAATAGGAGGGAAGGATGGTTTGGTGGCCAGGCCCAGTGTCCCACTGCCCTGCACAGCCTCAGAACATTGGATCCACATCCTGACGATAAATCCCTGAATGACTTTGTGGATCAGGCCATCTTCAAGCTTGCTCTGCCACTGATCAGACCTTTTGTGAGACAGAAAAAAAATGTGGACTGTGATAAGCCACAGAGAAAGCAGGGCTATCTGCCCGTCAGCTACAATTATGTTAACAAAGACATGTACAAGAAGTTCAAAAGCACACAGAGGAAAAGTATTAACTATGCAGAGAATGTATGGGGTGGATATTAGGATAACTTCCAGTGAGTGTGTGTTACAGGACCACCATGTTAATATCCCTGCTCCACAGTAACAGTCAATACACTGAGACAGCAGGGATGCAACAGAGAAAGGGTGTAATTATTACAGGGCACCAAGCAAGGAGATGGGAGGAGACACTTAAATCCATCTCCCCAGGGAGTTCTGGGCTAGGGTTTTTAAGAGGAATATGTAGGGTGAGGGCCTGGAAAACTGAAATTGTTGATTGGCCAGGGTAACAGGGATGAAGTCATCAGGATATGGAAACTGCACTCTTTGGTGAATCAGCTTTTTGTAGGGTCTTTCAGACCAGCTGGCATCAGGGAGTCCTACAGACAAGCTGGCATTAGTAGTTTCACTGATATACTGGACCTGCAAGGATATCTCAAAGGGAAAACCTAACATTTCATTATTTCCAAGTTGTTACCTCTAGAGCAGTTAGGGGAGCTCCAATCTTGTAACAGGATCCACCCAATTCTGCAGCAACAGGCACCAAACAGCTATGAGGAAGCAGAGAGGACGCTGGCCTAGTGATCAATGCTGAGCATGGGGGCAAGCTGGGTTTAATTTTGTTTCTGATCCTCCCTTTTTCCTTGATTAATTTTATAAATTTTGTAGAGAGTGTTTCACATATACAAAATTGCTACTGTGCATACATGCATTTTTCTGAGATGTTGATCACATTTATCAGATTTTTCAAACGGGTCGGTGATCTAAAATGGCTAGGATTCACTGCTTTATGTTATCTTATTTAACCATGTGAGTTAGGCATTATTGAAGCTCAGTGATCTAGGTTTACTGAGCCGGTGCATTTACCCACTGGTGCAGCACACATTTATTAGGCATGATCTCTGCTCCCAGCAGCCTCCAGGCCCTGGAGTGCACTAGACAGCAAGGCAGCCCAGCCCTCACTGTGGCAGGCCAGGGTGGAACGTGCATCTGAGGAGCATGCCGGTAGCGTGGCAGTGTTGGGAGGACTTGTTATCCGGCCTTGTGCCAAGTTTTCCACTTGGCCCATTTAGAGAAAAGGGCACAGCAGGATTGGAAGGGCACTGCCCACAGAGAGGGTCCCATGTGAACCCCCAGCAGCAGGGTGCAGGCCCAGGGCTGCCAAGAGGAGGCTCTGGAGCTCCAGGGAAGGACAGAGGAGCTAGGGAGGCAGCAGAGCTCAGCCATAAGGGCTCTGTGGAGAGAGCCCTAGATTATAAACACAAGCACCCCCTAGCCCAACGCCAGTGCCATCCTCACTCCAGTAGTTCACTCAGCAAACCACCTTTGAGCCCTCAAGCCCCAGGAGCGGCCAGACGAAGCCATCTCCAGGTGACCCTCTGTCACCTGGCACTGAGCACCTCCCACCCCAGGAACCACCAGAGCCTGAGCCAGCCTGCCCGGGGCTGCCCCAAAGTGCACCATCAGCACAGTCTCCCAGGCCTGACCCAGGCAGCCGCCAGCACAGCACTCATCACATAATGAGCACCTTTGATCTCCATTCTCCTGATCACGCTGAGCTAACAGCAGCAGCCTCGCAGGATGCGGCGGCCGCTCAATGTCAGGGCTGCGCTTGGCTGCTTTGATGTCTCAGTGCCTGCCTGTTTGAAATGGAAAGCTGTCACATTACGAAGATTATGCAGAACCCATTTGTCACCATCCTTTTCCCACGGCAGTGAAGTCTAGCCACCACCTGCCATTAAAGTCATAGCTGGAACAGACGAAGGTAAGGGAAACAAGTTAAGGGGCCAGAGGCATTTGTGGTTACCAGAAATTTTATGAGGGGAGCAAGGTCCAGGCTCTTAAAATGTTAATATAGTTGTCTCTTGGTATCCATGGGGGATTGATCCCAGGACCCACGGATAGCAAAATCGGCAGATGCTCAAGTCCTTGCATAAAATGGCAGAGTATCTGCATGTAACCTATGCACCTCCTCCTGTGTGCTTCAAATCATCTCTAGATTACTTGTCATACCTGAAACAATGTAAATGCTATGTAAGTAGTTGCCTTACTGTATTGTTTAGAGAATAATGATAGGAAACTCTGCACATGTTCATCACAGATGCAAATTGTATTTCCAAATATTTTCCATCTCACAGTTAATTGACTCTTATGGATGCAGAACTCACAGATTTGGAGGCCCCAGTGCACATACAGCAGCCTTCAAAATCCTGCCACAATGCAGGAAATCCGGCATTAATGTGCCAAGGCTTCCAGGTGAAACTGTCTAGTGACATATCAATGTCACTTTTATCAAAAAGGCAAATTTAAGAGCCATCCCCAGCCGGACACAGTGGCTCACACCTGTAATCCTAGCCCTTTGGGAGGCCGAGGCAGGCTGATCACCTGAGGTCAGGAGTTTGAGACCAGCCTGGCCAACATGTCAAAACCCCTTCTCTACTAAAAATACACAATTAGCCACGCATGGTGGCAGGCACCTATAATCTCAGCTACTCGGGAGGCTGCGGCAAGAGAATCACTTGAACCTGGGGGACGGAGGCTACAGTGAGCAGAAATCATGCCACTTTACTCCAGCCTGGGTGAAAGAGCAAAACTCGGTCTCCAAAAACAAAAAACAGCCATCCCCAAACAGCCAGAGAGCCACGCAGGTTGCAATGTGTGAGCTGTGGACCCGGACGCTGCCTCTGCGTTCAGTCTGTGTGCTTTGTTGGTTTGGTCAGATCATGAGAAGAAAACTCAGCCTTGTGCAGATACAGAGTTGGACAAGAAAGGAGTCTTCCAGTAGCCTTTCGGACAACTGGGTAGGTTTTACACCAAAATTTAATAGGTGGTTCTTCCTTAAAGGTTGGTTGCAATGTGGAACCCAAAACCATACCAGTGGATTGTTATATTCAGGTAGGTTAAAATTCACTGGGCATCTCACTTTGAATGGCTCTTTTAACTATGCGTGATTTTGTGACATTACGCATCGGCCACTTGGAAAATACTGTGTCCCTTAGTTGAGCAGACCTTCCAAACACACATTTGTGAGACAATGACAGTGAAAGTGGCAAACAATGTGTCCGTATTATCATGAAAATCGTTTTGACCTCACAGCCCCCCTCAATGTGTCTGGGATCCCAGGCGTTCCCAGACCAACTTCCAGAACTACTGCCTTCCAGAATCCCCCGCACACGCATGCCGGCTGGCACTGGGACGTTCACAGCAGCTGTGTCATAATCGCAAACACGTGGCAACAGCCCGCATGCTCCTCAGGACCAGAACAGAAAAATCAATCCTGGCAAACGCCCACTGTCAAGCACTATACAAGGTAAAATGAAGCAGACTCCTACAGCACATCCATCATCACAGACCATCTGCAGCACGCAGCCAGGAGCAAAGCAATGAGCCACAGGCTGAGGGAGGGCGGTCGCAGCCACACACTGGCCAAACAAGGGGGTAAGTGAGCAGCAGATGGCAGGGACCCACATGCTGGAAAAAATAAGGTTATTGCTTTTTCTTTGTAGAGATGGGTCACGCTCTGTTGCCCAGGCTGGTCTTGAACACCAGGGCTCAAGCAATCCTCCTACCTCAGCCTCGGAAAATGCTGGGATTATAGGCATGAGTCAGCACACCCAACCAGGCTGTTAATAACACAAAACTCTAGACCACGGGCACCTCTGCTAAGGAGGGAGGGAATGGCAGGCATTAGTAATGTCTTGTCTCTTGACCTGGGGTAGGTACTCTAGGGCCTGTGTTATTATTATTTAAATGGCATGTATTTAACACTCTTTTATAGAACTGGGACATTTCATAAGAACTGTTGAAGATGAGAGTAAAAAATAAAATAAAAATGAGAGAGGCTAGTCTGGTGGGGCCTGCTGTCTCCGAGCCACATCACTTTGCAAACTGTCATCGTGAAAGTTTTCTCCTTCACTCACTGAAACACATAGAATCATGCTGTTTGAGAGTTACTTGAATCTCTCACAAAAGCGAGGGTTTTTTCACTGCCCCACTTCAAAACTCAGCACTCTTCAAAACTCAGCAAGAAGCTGCCTCTCTTGGGAGCCCTGCCCTGTCCACACTCTGGTCACCTCAGCCACAGTCTCTCACATCAAGACACGTGGGCACCTGAGTCTGCTGCCTCACCTGTGAGCTCCCAAGGGCAAAAACCATGGCTCATCCATGAAGAGGGTGACATGGGTGAGCAGCAGAGGCCCCGGCAGGGTGAGTGTCCAGAGGATGTCTGGGGAGTGACAGGCGGGTCCAGGCAGCCGGAGGGGGCGGAGCTGCAGCCTTCCTCCCTCCACGTGGGCTCCGTGCAGGTTGAAGTGATGAACACACCTGCACTCCGAGTCCAGGGCACTCCCCTCCTTGTCGAGGGGTAACCACCCACAACCGCCGTGAGTGTCAGCCTGAGGGCGGCGCACTAATTCAACCCACTTCTGCCCACTGGGGAGGCCTATGGCAGGTTGAGGAGCTTCATAATAACTGCCAGCTACTGTATTCAGGAGAAGCAAGCCATAAGCCTGAGCGGGCACCTTTTCACCCATCAAGATGCCTCCAATGACTTGCAGGGTGCCAAGGCTCAACCCAACTCATGATTCTTATTGCACATTACTGTGCCAGGCACTGTGCCGGTGAGAACTGTGCCCAGCTGCCAGCATGCCACAGCGCCTGATGCCAGAGCTGAGCTGTGCCACATCCCCTTCCTAAGAGCCAAGCATGCTGCAGAGGCGTGTCTGAACACTGGGCTCCTCTCGAGACCTTCCTGAGGAAAGGCCTGTAGGGCGGCCTCTGTCCACCTCATCCCCAACTCCTGTGCTGTGAGCTGCTGGGCGCTCCCCAGCCTCGTCTTCACCTGCACTGGGCCTCTCAACTTCGCACCTGGGCCCACCCCTTTCCCCTCATGCTCAGCCTGACCTGGCTGCTTCCACTGCTCAGGTAGCTGTCACCTCCTCCAGGCAGCCCTCCACTGGGCATCACCCTCCCCATGCTTCCATCTACCTCAGCACATTACACATACCCTTTTCTGTCCCCTCTGTGCAGGAGCTCCCTAGAGGCAGGAACAAGTCCCTCTGTGTCCCCAGGGCTAAGCACAGGTCTGGCTGGGTAGGTGTGACATCGTTTTTAAATGAAATAAGGAATGCAGCGACTCTTATCTTCTCTGGGGCTTCCCAGGACGCATCATGGCATGAGGACAGCGGATTGAGAGTGTCCTCAATCCGGACGTGAGAGTGCTGGGAGGCCCCGTGGCAGGTCCATGACAGGACCCTGAGGAGGCCAAGCTATTCCCATTCCCTGCCACCTTGAGCAGTTATGCAGGCGCTGAGCAGTAGAACTTGAACTCAGCCCCTCTCACGGATGCTGGAGAGGCCCAAGGGAACTGCCCAACCCAGCTCACTCCCTCTGAGCACAGCCAGGCCCGTGCAGGGAGGAAAACGGCCCCAACCCCAGTGCTCACTGCACACCTGTGCTGTGTCAGGGGACACAG